AACATTCTTCAAAGGCAGAAGTGAAGGCAGTGTCTTGCTTAGTTACCAAAAAGGCTAAAGATAAGTTATACAATGTGACTTTTTGATTCCTCATTCTTAATAATTTTTCAATCTACTTGCCCTTTAAATACAAAAAAACCCAAACATTCATCACATAGGAAACAATCAGTTGAATTAACCATCTGGAAACCAAGAAAGAAACTCAAGATAAAATTGAAATTTCTAATCTTCTACATTTAAACTACATCTTCTATATTAAAACCTACATCATTCTTTCTGAAATCCCCGTTGCAGTTGCAAACTTTTTTTTTTTCAAAGCCTTACTTTAAAGCAGAGCCTATTAACTCACTCTTCGAAAAAAAGAATTATACAACAGGATAGAAATAAAACTTAGAAAACAAATAAGAATGCTCTACCTCTTCTGGAAATTCTTCACTGACAAGAGACATGATTAGTGATGTTTTCCCCACTCTGGCTGCAAAGGCATTAAACACACAGATTAGATGTTTGTTTTGTTACACCCGGTAGTTGTATCCCATCTTGAAAGGGGAAGATTTTAAAAACATTTTCCAACTGCCCCCATTCAAAGCTTTTTCTCTCTCGTTTCATCACACCAAACGTGGATGACAGCAATGCTCTCAGAATTCTTTTACTGGAAAACCTTGGGATCCCTCTCACACTTCTGCATTTCATCCAGAAGGGAACCAAATTCTGCTCTCACACTAAAGGATCATCAGGTTTTAAACTTGACACAGAAGATGTAACCAAAGCAACAAATAATCAACACAAACTAGAAAGGCTCCCATGCAACTTCAGAAACAAAGGTGGCACACAGAAAATAATTTAGAAATGAACTATTTTTATAGCATTTTTGATATGATGAGTGTGCTCCAGGCCTGAACTACCAAGGATGAGAATGGACAAGAAGACACAGCTCTACTGGCTGTGGACAAAGCCTCCAATAGTTTGATTATTTGGAAGTGCAAGAACATCATCTCCTTGACACAAACGAGATGGTCCCCACCAAAAAGTGGAAAAAACCACCAACTCTTTTAAAGTCACAGCTTTCCTAATTCCAGATGACCATCTCCGCTTCAATATCCAGCTCTATTCCATCAAATAAATGACTTTGTTTACCTGCAAGGTTCAGGTTTCTGATACCACAGTTGAGCTGCTTGGGTTGGAGAAGCTTTAATGTGACCATTTAATATGAAGAGATGGTAACTTTTCTCCCTGAAAAGCCCTCTAGCTGTGAATTCCCTATCCCTTGGGAAGCCTTGAAAGACTATTGGTTTTGAGACATATTAAAAAATAATATGTTCAGATTCAAGCGTTACCTGGGATTGGATATTTCCAACAGCTCTCAGTTCAGGGAAAAACCTGTTTAATCCTGGATGTGGCAGCACCTCTGTGTTCCCAAGCCAGGCACTGCTCAGTTCCTGTCAGAGCCTGTGCCACTGTCCCCACCAAAGCAGCAGAAATGCCACCAGGCACGGAAGGTGTTTGGCTGCTGTCACTGCATTTACACTCCTCTGGGTGATTGTGAATAATTCTGAGTATGAGAGAAGAGCTGGAATCGTACAACTGGTTGATTTTGTGTAGGAAATGGCATTGCTGAGCTGATGATCTAATCAGGCTCCACTCAATTTATCTAAATCTCTTTTTGGTATAGTCCGAGGGGCTTTCTGACCTTCAGAAATAAAACCTTCTCTTCAGCGTGGTAAGCTGAAGAATAGTTGTTACAAAATTATGAAAAGCAAAGAAAAGTTCCTCTGGGGTGTAAGATTTCTGTTTCCCTCAGGGAGAACTGCCATAAACTTTTCCCCAGTGGTACCACCTGGAGAGCAGCAAGCTGCAGGTTTCCCAGCAGCAATGTGGTGGTGTTTGCATCAAAGACACTCCTGTGAGCTAAAACTCTAATTTATACTGCCAGGTGTCCTCCCGCATCAGCTGCATCTTAAATTTCATCCTGATAGAATCAAAAGAGCTTTGGGAGCTCCCCTATTTCCACAGGAAGAAAGGTAAGTTATCAGACCATTACTGAAAATAGTGCTGTGCATTTTGCACCTGACCAAGGCAGTTCCCACCTAAAACTCACTGGCTTTGCAGATACAGAAACTCACTCCGCAGGGCTGAAAACAGAAGACTGTGTGTTGCTGGGCAGTAAATGCTCAGTGTTTATAAGCTCCTGATACACTTCCCAGCGCCCCAGAGTTTTATGAAAATCCATAGGTTCAAGTGCAGAGACTCGGTTTATTTTCTTGGAATCTGGGTCAGCCCTCTGCCTTTGCCAGTCTGTTTACAGTCTGACAAAGAACAGCCCAAACAGCACCAGCTGACTGGGATGAAGGAAATGCAGCACCTTGGGGTAACTAAATCCTCTTTTTCCTCATATGTGAGTTTTTTAGATCATGCTGCATAAAATAACATGCTGAACATACTCTGAAAATTACTGGCTATTAAAAATTGATGTTTGCACCCTGGATACAAGGACTAAAACAACCCTAAACATAAACTGTAGAAGACGAGGCATGAAAAAGGCTGTTTTGGAACAGGCTTACAATAACACTTCTTCACAACACATTTCATATCCTGAACCTGGTCTGCTGTTACCACCTAACAAGTTTTAGACAGTCTGGACTAACCTGTGGTTTCAGATGAACAAACATACATGAGACAAGGATCCCAAAGCAGCACTGACACTATAACTGACGAGTTCTACTGATTTGTGAAACAAATCTCTCCCCTCTGTTTGCTACAAGTCCAACAAAAACACAATACAGAGATGCTCACAATCTTTGATGTGCGCCACGTACTGTAAGTTGCTATATTTATTTAAATTTACATTTTAAATTCCCCCTTGGGCACGGTTCTGCCAAAACAAAGCACCTGTTACACCTGTGCTGAAACCACTGCCCTGAACCAGTTCAGCACCCAGGTAAATGAGGCGAATTAGGCACCTGTTCTACAGAGGAATGAAACTGTGTATTCAAATGCACAAATACATTCCTAAACAGGGTCATGCAAAACTAACCACCTACAATCCCAGTGAGTGAGCTCTTTCTGCACAGTGGCAGCTCCCTGAAGATTCATTCCCCTCTGCAGACGCCACTGAGAATCTTTCCAGGCAGCACAGACAGAGCCACCCTGCACTATAAATATATATATATATATATGGGGCATTCAGTGCTCAGGAAAGCTTTGTCAGCAGCACCGCATTCTCAGCATAATCAGCCAATTTTACTAATAACGCTTGGTAATTACTCTCTATTCTTTCCCCGTGAGGAACTCAAGTTCACTTTGCAAACTACCCGAGCAGAACCTCCTGGAGCAGCGGTGAGCAGCTG